AGCGGGGCCTCCTCCCGCCGTAGCCCCGGGGAGCGGAACCCGCGGCCCCAGCGGTTCCTGCCCCGTGCCCGATGGAATCGTCGGCTCACTCAGGGTCTGTGTTTTTTCCCCTCCCGCAGACTCGGTGGAGCTGAGGTGAAGGGAGCAGCCCGTCGCCAGGATGTTTCTCTACAACCTGACTTTGCAACGCGCCACCGGCATCAGCTTCGCCATCCATGGCAACTTCTCAGGTAACTTCCCCCCTCCCCGGTGCCTCCTGCCAGGTTGCAGAGGCAAAATCGGGTCGGTTCTTCGTTTGCTGACGTTGCTTCGACCCTCCTTACTGTTCTTTTTTAGGAACCAAGCAACAAGAAATTGTCGTTTCCCGCGGCAAGATCCTGGAGTTGCTCCGCCCTGATCCCAACACCGGGAAAGTTCACACCCTGCTGACCGTGGAGGTGTTTGGAGTCATCCGTTCCCTCATGGCCTTCAGGCTGACAGGGGGCACCAAGGATTACATCGTGGTGGGCAGTGACTCGGGTCGAATTGTTATCCTGGAATACCAGCCCTCCAAGAATGTCTTTGAAAAGATCCATCAGGAAACCTTTGGCAAGAGTGGGTGTCGCAGGATTGTCCCAGGCCAGTACCTGGCAGTGGATCCAAAAGGTCGTGCTGTCATGATCAGTAAGTCACCCTGCCTGGTTTATTGTTTCCTTCTGTCTTGGGGAAGTTTTGGAGGGAGTTTTTTGGCCGGGTGTGGTTGGAGGTGTTTCTTCTTGGGGCAGTTTGTTGAGGTGATGGGAGGTGTCAAGGAGAACACGGGTGTTCAGGGCAGTTGGTGCTGATGGGTTTGCACAAATTAATTCTGGGCTAAAATGGTTTGGGAAGGGGCCCTGAGAGGTGGTGTCTGGGAGAGGTTTCAGGTGGTTGGGATATATAAGCCCAGATGAGAAGGACACTGAGGGACTAGAGCATATCCAGAAAAGGACAGTGGAGCTGGGGAAGGTTCTGGAGCACAGGTCTGACAAGGAGCAGCTGGGAGTGTCCAGCCTGGAGACAAGGAGGCTGAGGGGAGACCTTCTGGCTCTGCAACTGCCTGAGAGGAGGTTGGTGCAAGCCAAGTGTTGGTCTTTTCTGAAAATTAACAAGAGGAAATGGCCACAAGTTGCACCAGAGGAGGTGTAGGTTGGATCTTAGGAATAGTTTCTTCATAGAAAGGGGTGTCAGGCCATGGCACAGGAAAATGGTTGAACCTCCATCTCTGGAGGTGTTCAGAGGCTGTGTAGATGTGGTGCTGGGGGACATGGGTTAGCTCAGGACTGGGTAGAGTTGGGTTAATGGTTGGACTTGATCTAAAAGGTCAATTCCAACTGGAAGGGTTCTGTGGTGTAGTCAGCCAGCTCCCACAGCCTGAAGTGATGAATGAGTTCATGTCTCTTCTCTGAGATGGATCCTGGAGACATCTATATTCATTCCTGATCAGGCTGCACACTAGGAGGACCCTTGAGTGACCCTTGAGTGTAATAAGTTCTACCCTGTCTTAGTTGTTTCCTTTCTAACAAGTCTTGTTTCCACTGGTGGGAAGGTCCCAGTTGGTACCTGGCAGTGGATCCAAAAGGTCGTGCTGTCATGATCAGTAAGTCACCCTGCCTGGTTTATTGTTTCCTTCTGTCTTGGGGAAGTTTTGGAGGGAGTTTTTTGGCCGGGTGTGGTTGGAGGTGTTTCTTCTTGGGGCAGTTTGTTGAGGTGATGGGAGGTGTCAAGGAGAACATGGGTGTTCAGGGCAGTTGGTGCTGATGGGTTTGCACAAATTAATTCTGGGCTAAAATGGTTTGGGAAGGGGCCCTGAGAGGTGGTGTCTGGGAGAGGTTTCAGGTGGTTGGGATATATAAGCCCAGATGAGAAGGACACTGAGGGACTAGAGCATATCCAGAAAAGGACAGTGGAGCTGGGGAAGGTTCTGGAGCACAGGTCTGACAAGGAGCAGCTGGGAGTGTCCAGCCTGGAGACAAGGAGGCTGAGGGGAGACCTTCTGGCTCTGCAACTGCCTGAGAGGAGGTTGGTGCAAGCCAAGTGTTGGTCTTTTCTGAAAATTAACAAGAGGAAATGGCCACAAGTTGCACCAGAGGAGGTGTAGGTTGGATCTTAGGAATAGTTTCTTCATAGAAAGGGGTGTCAGGCCATGGCACAGGAAAATGGTTGAACCTCCATCTCTGGAGGTGTTCAGAGGCTGTGTAGATGTGGTGCTGGGGGACATGGGTTAGCTCAGGACTGGGTAGAGTTGGGTTAATGGTTGGACTTGATCTAAAAGGTCAATTCCAACTGGAAGGGTTCTGTGGTGTAGTCAGCCAGCTCCCACAGCCTGAAGTGATGAATGAGTTCATGTCTCTTCTCTGAGATGGATCCTGGAGACATCTATATTCATTCCTGATCAGGCTGCACACTAGGAGGACCCTTGAGTGACCCTTGAGTGTAATAAGTTCTACCCTGTCTTAGTTGTTTCCTTTCTAACAAGTCTTGTTTCCACTGGTGGGAAGGTCCCAGTTGTGCCATTTACATTCATAGTGAGAAGTGGTGGTTGTTCCCTTGTGGCTGCATGAGTTGGGCAAGAATACATTTCATAGAGTCCCAGATTGGTTTGGGTTGAAAGGCACCCTAAAGATCATCCAGTCCCAACCCCCTGCATGGGCAGGAACACCTCCCACCAGCCCAGGCTGCTCCAAGCCCCATCCAACCTGCCCTTCAACACTGCCAGGGATGGGGCAGCCACAGCTTCCCTGGGCAACCTGGCCCAGGCTCTCACCACCCTCACACCAAACAATTTCCTCCTCATGTCTCACCTCAATCTCCCTCTTCCAGTTTTCATCCCTTCCCCCTTGTCCTCTCCCTCCCTGCCCTTGTCCCAAGTCCCTCCCCAGCTTTCCTGGAGCCCCTGGAAGGGGCACTGGAAGGTGCTCTAAGGTCTCCCTGGATACTTTTTTCTTCAGTTAATCTGTTTTTGAAGGAAGGTCTCCTTACCAGATGGTTTCAGATGGTGGGATGTCTGGCTGCTGCTTTCAATTTCTTCTTCCTTCCCAGCATCCCTCCTGGGGTGCAGTGAGTTGGAAGCTCAGCCTGTGGTTGTTGTTAGTTGAACATGGGGCTGGAGGAACGTAGCTCAAGGTCAGGGTTGGGCTTTAGAGACCTGGAGTTGTCTTTGGTGAGCAGGGGTGTTGTCCTCTCCTGGCAGGTGCCATCGAGAAGCAGAAGCTGGTCTACATCCTCAACAGGGACGCTGCTGCCCGCCTCACCATCTCCTCCCCCCTGGAAGCCCACAAGGCCAACACCTTGGTCTACCACGTGGTGGGAGTCGATGTGGGCTTTGAAAACCCCATGTTTGCTTGTCTGGAGATGGATTATGAGGTGAGAAGAAGCTTCACTTCCCTGAGATGTGGTGTTTGTCTTCTGTTCTTCTTCTGGCCGTGGGAGCCCTGGCTGCTGTTGTTGGCTGAGACAACTCTAATTTGCCATGAGCTTCCTCCCTTTTTGTCCAACCTTCTTCAGAACATGCAAGTCTCTTCCATCCTGGTGATTCTTAAATTCCTGCCTCAACTCCAAACATGCCTCTTGTCTTCCTTTGAACCTGATTTTTTTTTATATCTGCCAGCAGTTCTTTTGAACTTCATCCTAATGTTCCTCAAAACTGCTTCCCTGTGTCTCGTTGCTCCTCCTTTAGCACCTTCCTTGAAAGGCACCTTCACTTCTTCTGTTCTAGGAAGCAGACAATGATCCCACAGGAGAAGCAGCAGCCAACACACAGCAGACCTTGACCTTTTATGAACTGGACCTGGGTTTGAACCACGTTGTTAGGAAATACAGTGAGCCCTTGGAAGAGCATGGCAACTTCCTTATAACAGGTACTGCATTTTCCCATGGATCTGCTTTGTTCCCTTTCCCCAGGGACACAGAATCAATAGACTTTACATCTTTGGAGTTGTTTCAACAACTGGGCTGTTAGTATAAATTAATTGACCTTGGAGTCAGGTGGTTCAGACATGGAAATGTGTATGAGCTCAGAGCTGTGGTTTGAAAGTGCTTCTCATCTCTGGAGATATTTTGGATATTCCCTGGTTTCTGGAGCTAAGAAGTTTTAAATTAGCCGGTAGCAGCTGCAAAACCACCTCTTATTTAGCTAACCCAGAGGTGCTGTTGTACTTGCATGGGATTCCATCAACTGATGTGCATTCAGCAGGTGAATCCCTGAGCTAAAAGCCCACCTGCAGGGGCTGGATGCAGAGCTAACCAAACACTTCCACCTGGAAAATGACTGTGGATTCCTCTCCAACCACAAGGGAAGGTGAGCTGGGAGAGTTTTTGCTGCACCTTCCACAGGCAGCTGTGACTGTGGATTCCTCTCCAACCACAAGGGAAGCTGAGCTGGGAGAGTTTTCGCTGCAGACCCCAAAAATAGGGCTGGATCTGACCACTACTGCTATTCTGATGATACATTTTGTTACCCAGGGATAGAAACAATAAAAACTATTTTAAAAACATCCTCTAAAAAATCTGAAAACCATCTGATGGATTTTTTTTTTTTTTACAGCAACAAATGTGCTGGTAGCCCAAGGCTTGTGTTTAACTGACAAGTTCTTAGTGTGGTAATTTGGGAATGTGGTTTTTTTAGACAAGAACAAGACATGAAAGCTCAAAAGAATTGGCCTGAAGCTGCATCCTTCCTATTTCTCCATCCTGGTCCCCCAGTTCCATGTGCCCTGTTCTGAGGCCAACACAGCTGCACATTCTTCTGTCTTACCCTTGGTCAAGAGTAGATTTATACATGGCAGGGTGATGCAGAGCACTGGAAACTATGTAATTTGAATGAAAACCAAAAGGAATGTTCTGCAGGCAGTGAGTTAGACCTGTGCTCAGGGCTTTTCTCACAGTGTTTCTTTTTGTGTCTTTCAGTTCCTGGTGGTTCTGATGGACCTAGTGGGGTGCTGATCTGTTCTGAGAACTATATTACTTATAAAAACTTTGGTGACCAGCCTGATATCAGATGCCCAATTCCCAGGAGACGGGTGAGGATTGTGGGATTCCTTCGTTTTTCTCAGTGCTGAGTGAATGCTGTTTGCCTTTCAAGGTTAAAGGAGGTTTTAAAGTAAGGAAAAAGGAGTTAAAAGCAGGTTGGGCCCATCATCTGCCTTCCTGGTTGTGTTAGCTGTGAGGGTGGGTGTAGCCTGAAGTGATGAGCTTGGTTCATGTCTCTTCTCTGAGATTGATGGTGGAGAAACTCCAAAGACTCTGATCAGGCCCTGTGGTGACAGCACTGGGGATGTCAGGATGGCTGGAGGGGGTGTCTTGGCTGCCATCCTGTGTGCAGGTGAATTGTCAATTCAGCAGCTGCTCCCTCACATCTAAGACTGCTTCCTCCTCCTCTGGTAGATCCTTGTGTGCTTTGATAGCACTTTGGACCACCTGCTGAGGTTCAGGTGCTTGAAACCAGCTGGATGTGGGAATGTGCTCTGTGTTAAAAGCCTTCTTGCAGTGGACAGTGAGGTGGATGGAGAGCTGGCTGTGACAGAGCTCAGAGGGTTGTGATCAGTGGAGCAGGGTTGAGTTGGAGGCCTGTAACCAGTGGTGTCCCCCAGGGGGCAATAAGTCTGTCCAGTCTTACTCAACTTATTCATCAGTGACCTAAACTATGGGACAGAGTGTGACCTCAGCACTTTCACTGATGATCCAAACTGGGAGGGGTGGTGACACTCCACAGGGCTCTGCTGCCATCCAGTGTGACCTGGGCAGGCTGGAGAGCTGGGCAGAGAGGAACCTCATGATGTTCAACTAGAGGTCCTGCACCCGGGGAGGAAGAACCCCAGGCACCAATATAGGTTAAGGTTGGGCCTGCTGGAAAGCAGTTCTGAGGAGAAAGATCTGGGAGTCCTGGTAGAGAAGAAATGATCCCTGAGCCAGGAATGTGCCCTTGTGGCCAAGAGGGCCAATGGAAGAGTGCTTCCCAGAGGGAGTGTGGAGTCCCCTTCCCTGGAGATATGCAAGACCCTCCTGGATGCAGCCCTGTGGGGTGTGCTCCAGGTGATCCTGCTTTAGCAGGGGGTTTGAACTTGATGATCTCCAGAGGTCCCTTCCATCCCTGACAATTCTGTGGTATCATCAGCTCTTCAGGCACCTATGAAATGGGAATAGTTCAGTCTGTGGAAGCCCAGCTGTGCTTGCCAGGTGATTCTTATCCACTAATGACCTCCACTTGATTTCTTGACAGAATGACTTGGATGACCCAGAGAGAGGTATGATTTTTGTCTGCTCTGCTACACACAAGACCAAGTCCATGTTTTTCTTCCTGGCCCAGACAGAGCAGGGAGACATTTTCAAAATCACTCTGGAGACTGATGAAGACATGGTAAGAACAATGAGAGATTCCTCAGTCAATTCTTTTGCTTCTCTGAAGCAACAAATAATTAATAATGTGGTTTTAACTGGGTAATGGTCCATGTTTTGTGTTATTTGTAAGACGGTTTTACCCTCAGTTGGAAATGCTGTGTCTTTTGTATGGAGACACAGCACAATGTTTGCAAATTCCTGTGACAATTATGCTGCATGTTCTCTTGGGCACATTTTAGATGTTCTGCAGGTGATCCTTCCTTCAACAGATGTGAAGTGTGGTCCATGGACCTGCTAGGGTTTATTCCAGACACTAATTCTGGGAAATTTAGTTTCTCTTGATTACAGCAGGTGCTCCTGGTTTCATCTCCTGATTGGGTATTTAAATGCTGCAATCAGTCTTTTTGCAGATGGAGGTAGTTGTGTTGGTGCAGTTAATCCAGGAGTAGAAATGTCTTCTATGAAAACAAGTTGAGAGGAAGAAAAGGCTCCAGGGAGACTTTAGAGCAGCTTCCAGTGCCTGAAGGGGCTCCAGGAAAGCTGGGGAGGGGCTTGGGACAAGGGCAGGGAGGGAGAGGACAAGGGGGAAGGGATGAAAACTGGCAGAGGGGAGATTGAGGTGAGACATGAGGAGGAAATTGTTTGGTGTGAGGGTGGTGAGAGCCTGGCCCAGGTTGCCCAGGGAAGCTGTGGCTGCCCCATCCCTGGCAGTGTTGAAGGGCAGGTTGGATGGGGCTTGGAGCAACCTGGGCTGGTGGGAGGTGTCCCTGCCCATGCAGGGGGGCTGGATCTAGATGATCTTTAAGGTCCCTTCCAGCCCAGACCCATTTGGGATACCATGAGTGTATGAAATAACAAGCTCAAAGTGGCTTGTTGCTGCTTCCCCAGTATTTTACAACAAAGAGATCTCTACTGCAGTAAATCAGTTGGGCTTTTTGAGTAAATTTGAGTGTTGCTCCTTCATCTGCACGTCACATTTGGTTCAAGGGATGAGTAGCATCTTTAATTGTCTTGAAGATAGTGGTTGGATGCTGTCATCAAGAGCTACTGTCACCATAACAAATGTATCAATTTACCCAAGACAGTGTTAGGGAATGGGTGGTAGACACTGAAGCACATACTTTCTTTTAGACAACTTGCTGTTTCCACAGCTGTTCTTTTCCAAACTGACTCAGTTTTACCAAAGAGAAGGAAATCCTGAGATAAAAAAACCAGGCTGACTCCTGTGTTCCAAACAGGGCTTTGTGATTTATAACCTGCTGCTCCAAATTACTGATGTGGTTAGGCCTGGCCTGCTCTCTTGCTTCCTGTCTTTGGAGAGAAGAGCCAAGCAGCTTTTTTTGATTAAATCTATTTTTATTTTTGTTGTAATTACTAATGCTCTAGTTCTTTGCTACCACAGTCACATTTTCCTCTGCTTTCAGGTGACAGAGATTAGACTGAAGTACTTTGACACAGTTCCTGTTGCTGCTGCCATGTGTGTGCTGAAGACTGGGTTTCTCTTTGTGGCATCTGAATTTGGAAACCAGTGAGTACACAATTTGACATCAGGTTTTTGCCCCCCCAAAAACCAGTCTGTTTCTGTTCAGCACTGACCCTCTGAAGACAACACCTCTGCCTCAGTGGGTAAAATTAATGCTTTGTTTGTGTGACTTGAGCAGAACAATTGGTTCAGGCTGTGACCAAATGGGGGAATTCTCATGTTGTTTGAACCCAGATTAGATTATTATCATGCAGGGAACAGCAGATAACATGTTGTTGCAGTAGGTCTTGGAAGAATTGAACTCTTGGAGTTCATCTAGGGCCCATCATCCATCCAGATTAATTATCTTACAATCAGCTTGTTCAGTTTTCATTGAGCTTTGACGTGTTGTGGCTCCTTCAGAAGAAGTGAGGGTTTGTTATCAGGAACTCTGGTCCTTTCCTTAATAGGTGTGTACTTGAGGGCTTCCTCAGTTCATGCTTGGGGTTCTAGAATATTCCAAAGACTCAGTGATGACTTGTCACACCTTTAAGAGGGCTGGAAAGCTTGTAAGACTCACAGGAATGGAGATTTTTACTTTTTCTGGCTCCGATCTGCAGTCAGCCACCTGGGGGAGCTCCATCCTGGAGGGACTCTTGAATCCTGTTCAGTAATCCAAGTTCTTGGGAAGCCATACTCATTTCAGCCTTATTAAAACCAGGAAATAGATCACTCTGTCTTTCAGGTTTTATCTTTTTTTTTTCTTTTTTTCCCCTCTGAAGTTTAACTTGATTGTACTTTGACTGTAACACAAGGGTATCTGAAAGAGTAAAACAGGGAAACCACCCAAACCAGTGACAGCTACAAATGATGAGGTTCTGGTGTGGGGTGTTTGGGGTTTTTTTTGGCCTCTGATTGCCTTTAAACATTTTGTCACCAAGAAGACAAGCCTAAGTTTTACTAGCTGGGTAACCTAGGGAAGGATTTCTCTCCTCACTGCCTGAATATTTGGCTGACCCTTTCTTGGAGAAGGCAACACAAGCTTAGCACTGAACATATCCTTGCTTTCTGTTTCAAGTTACCTGTACCAGATAGCTCACCTGGGAGATGATGATGAGGAGCCAGAGTTCTCTTCTGCCATGCCTCTTGAGGAAGGAGACACCTTCTTTTTCCAGCCACGACCTCTCAAGAACCTGGTGCTGGTGGATGAGTTGGACAGTTTATCTCCTATTCTGTGCTGTCAGGTGTGTTGCCATCAGCAAGCTCCCATTCACCACACAAGTTTTTCATTCCCAGAGGGTTTTAACATTCCCAGAGCAGTAGCATGGAATATGTAGTTTCATTTTCTCCTCCTGTGGCTGTTGTTTGATACTGTTTCTCCACACAGATAGCAGATTTGGCCAATGAGGACACACCCCAGTTGTACGTGGCTTGTGGTCGGGGTCCCCGCTCATCTCTGAGGGTTCTAAGGCATGGACTTGAGGTAGGACTTTCAGCACTTCAGAAGAGCAGCTTGAGTGGGAGGGACAGTGCAAGATGATCCTTGAAATAAGGGTGCTGAAGTGAAGGGATTCTCCTGCCACACACTGGAGAGAGCAGCTTTTTTCAGGCTTGCTTTTTGGAAGTAGAAGGGCTGTGCTGTTGACTCTTAGTGTATCAAAGACTGTGGCTGCCCTATCCCTGGCAGGTTGGATGGGGCTTGGAGCAACCTGTGGTCTGGTGGGAAGTGTCCCTGCCCACGCAGGGGATTGGATCTAGGTGATCTTGAAGGTCCCTTCCCACCCATTCCATTATATGATTCTATGACTCCAGCCACCTACATGGTGCCTCTCCTCACACTTGGGTGCATGAAGCTGGACCGTTCCCTGTGTCTCTGCCAGCTGCTGCTGGGGGGTGGGTGACCTTGTTTTCAAGCTGATCATCCAGAGCCTTATCATTCCTGGGTGTTTTCTACCCTATAGCACATCTGGTGTGGGAGGAGAGGATCAGAATTGGGAATTATGAGCTTGCCTGCCCTGTTGTGGAAAAGCTTAGAAGCTGCTGATGGTTTAAACATCTGTCTGAACATCTGTCTGCAAAAGAACCTTGTTCCTGTTGCCTTGTAGGTCTCTGAAATGGCTGTCTCAGAGCTGCCTGGTAACCCCAATGCTGTGTGGACTGTGAGGAGACACGTTGAAGGTAAGGCAGCATTTTCTTCAAGTACAAGGAGGTGATAATGGCTTGTGGTGTGTTTTGTTTGTTGGCTTTTTTGGTTTTCTGTCCAAGGAGATGGGAAAGGTGCTGTAGGATGGTTGGGAGCCATCCCCAAAAGGAACATTTTGAATCAGCAACCACCTGTTTAACCTTAAAAGCCACCCTCTGCTCCCCTAGAATTGTCACACATCCCTTTGACAAGAAGCACCTGCATCCATCACCCAATATGCTGAATTTCTCATCCTTTTCCTCTTCCCATAAGTTCCTGCTCCAACATCAGGCAGTGATGATGCTTTTTATTGGAGCACACTCACTAATCTTTCTCTGTGTGTTGACAACTACAGTAATCAGCTTTTTGTGAGAGAGTGGGATCCAAATTATGGAACAAAGCAGATAAATCAGCAACAGTGTCTGTATTTTATTACTTCCTTCTATGCATATCTGCAAAGAAAACAGTCTCTTTGAGTGAGGACATGCTCCCTATTCAAAAGCCCAGCAGTGTTGAGGAGACTGCAAATGCCAGGAAGGTCAGGATTTGAAACTGGCAGAATGTTCTGGGTTTCAGGCTTGGGTTTTGTTGTTTTTTTCCTGATGAGAAATAATGGGTTTGCTTTCCTGAAGTACAAGAAGAAATGTCATCCCTTGTTCTACCTTTCTCTTGGGGGTGAGAAGAGAGTGCCTTAGAAATGCCTAAAGAGCCTGAACTGAGGCTTTTCTGGGTTCTTACAGTCTCTGAGGTTGTTGCTGAGTCTGGGCTTTGTATGAAGCTTGCAGAGATTTCCTGTAGGATTGTGCACTGGATATGGAAATGCCAGTGGAGACCTTAGCCTGCAGTGGTGTCTTGGTTTTAAGCAATCATGGAATGCCAGACTGGTTTGGGTTAGAAGGAGCCTTAAAGATCATCTATATCCAACCCCTTGCATGGGCAGGGACACCTCCCAGACCAGTCTCAAGCCCCATCCAACCTGCCCTGGAACACTTCCCAGAGTAGTGTGTCTTCCAGGCAGAGCCAGTAACCCAGTGGGAATTTCAGACCTTGCTGTGGAGTTGACTTTGTCACCTGAAACCTGTCACCTGAGACCTTCCACCAATCCCTCTGCTCACATTCTGAGGCTCCTGAGCAGCAGGGAAGGAGCTTTGAGCACAAAGTGCCTTCGTGTTTCCCAGAAATAAAAGGGTCAGAAGGAAGGTGTTTCCACAGTTCATTGCAAAAGTGTGTAAGTTTTTCTTCCAAGAGACATTCCAGTTTGTTAGAGACAAACATTTGCTCCTGCCTTCTGGAAAAGGAGTTAGTAACATTTCTTGAGGTGGAGCCTTCTGACATCACCTTAGGGTTTTAAAACCTTTTCTCTTGTTGTTCCTGAGGATGACTCTGACTTGCCAGGAGATGGAGGAATCTAACCCACATGGAACATACCAGTCTTGCTGCCTCTTTTTTTTTTTCCCTTCCTCCTACGTTCTCCAGGTTTCAGGATGAAGATCTTCTCAATCATTTCAGCAGGGCTGGAATCTGTAGCTGTTGTGAACCCGTCCTACCTTTTGAATCCAGTTGGAAGTTAGATAAAACCCATCCCCAAGTTACAACTCATCCAGTTCAGAAACATTTTTAGCAGGTTTCAATCCAAAAGACTACAGAACCTTTCCAAACATGTCTTTTAACCCTGAAACTGCCCAGGTGCTGGTTTTGGAGTGTCCAGATGGTAGCATGGAGCTGCCAAGCTCTTCCTTGGTGCCACAGTGTGTGTGCTGCAAAGCCTCTGTAGGACACCTTCAAGTTTGCAGCCTTCAAAGCAGATACTAACCCTGGCTGGTAGGTGGTGATTCACACTACCAATACCAAGCCTCTTTTTTTCTTCCACAGGTGGCTGGTGGTGGAGGTGCTGATCCCCACAGGTGTGTACCTACTGCTGGGGGCTTCTGTACCCTCCCACAGGTTAACCACAGAGAATCCCCCAAATCCTGGGGCTGCTTTTTTTCTGTTAAGCTTTCCAGTAAATTCATTCTAGAAGCTGTTGTGTGGTTGGAGGTGGTAGATAGAGGTGTAGGTGAGGAGTAGAAAGCAGCTCCCATTCTATCTTGTGATCTTTGGGGAACAAAATAATTGACTGTGTCTGTGCAGAATGGTCAGTTTTTGCCAGAATCAGAGGTGTGTGTTTCAGGGGTATTTTTCCCTCCCTTCTAGCCTGAGGTTTGTCTCCCAGCTACTTTGTACAGACCTTCCAGAGAACGTGGAGTGTGCTTTAAGCACCTGTAGGTATTGCCAGCCTGGGATTGCCCTGTGCTTATGGAATGTGTCTGCCCATCAGGCAGAAGAGGATGGGGATTCATACCAAACCCTCTTGCCATTCCATCCTGAGGTCTGGAGGAGCTCGATGGCTCTTTGCTTCCCTGAGGAGAGGTGGGAGCTGAGGCTTTGCAGTCTGCAGTCCCTGCCTGGCAATGTGCAGTACAGCTTCTGAGTCTCCAGGCAGTAGTAAACAGAATGTGCCCAGGAAAATGTGCTGTCATCCCATCAGTGTCTTACAAGTGAGAATAATCCTGGATTTTGTCACTGCTCTTCTGGTTGTTCACCAAGCTTCTCTGAGCTAGTGGTGACTGCATTTATATAGGTGCAAATTCAGATGCTGCAGGGCATGAGTAAGCTGATTCAGGCACGGATGGGTGTGTAGGAGTGGAATTCTCATGGAGTAACTCAGACTGCATCCCTGACAATACAAAGGAGGACAGTAGTGTGGAGCTGATGGGCTGAGATGTGTTTTTTTTCATAACTGCTCATGAACAGCTGCAGAAAGCTTGTGATGAAGGCACAGGAGAGCCTTCATCAGTCCAGCTGTGGTTTTTCAGAGTCATTGAGATGTCTGTTAATCACTGGAGGGAGCTAACTGGAGCAATTAGAACAGCAGTCAGCATCTCTCAAGTCTTGTGTCTGCATACAAAATAATACTGATCTGTTCAAAACTCTGGGCAGCCTCATGTTATGCTTGGGATTGTGCAGAGCTAAGTAGGTGTCTTTTCATCTTTAGATCTGAGACCACTTCCCAGTGTGCCCCAGGGAATTTAGTCCTCTTAATTTCAACGAGGCTGCTGGATTTTTCTAAACCAAAATTGTATTGTTTGAAACTCTAGTTGAATGTGTCTCATTCACAGGCTTCATCCTGGTAGATCAGAGCCTTTGTTTTCCAAAGCTCCAGCAGAGAGAGGCATTAAGCAGCACTACTGGACTCCAGGCAGAAATGCAGTTGTCACTATTATTGATACAGGACTTGAAGACACTGATCTAGCTGTTAGCCAGGGAAAAAAAAAAGAGCTGAAAAAGTAGGAAGAGGTAGGAAGGAGTTTTCTGGTAGAGCAGGACTAAGGAAATCTGGTTGGCTTTCAAATGGGAGCTCTTTGTCCTGCTCCAAATCACATGGCTGAGCCTCCAGCTGGGACAGAGGGGGTGGTTATCACGAGAGTGACAGTCCCCAGGGAGGAAAGCAACAGCTCTCAAGAAGTTTGGAAACCAGTGATGGTCTTTGAAATGGAATTTTTCAAACATCCTGTCTACAGGGTATTTATCAATTGAATGCTTTAGCCTGTGAACTGCTTGACATTCTGGGTAAAGCCATCGAGGAATTCTTGTAGACTTCTGGAGCTGAAAAATGGATGCAAGTTCGTGGGGGAAGCTGCTGTTTAGTGTAGGAAACAACCAGTATGTAGTGGTGTAGCTCTCACCAAGCTCTGCTTCTCATGTTAGAGAAGTTCTGTGAGGCCAAGTGGTTAAATAGTTGATGTTCCTCCTCAGTTTCCTTGTGCAGGTTCAGTTTATGTTGTTTTATTTCCCCAAGTGGAAGCTCTCCTGCCTGTGGGGTTCAGGAGCATCTTGGTAGTGACAAACTGTGACCCCTTAATAGAGTAGTAACAGAGTTGATCCCACAGACCACTGTTGGGACTGCTGTAATTACCCAAAGCTTGTTAGTTTGACCAGAGCTGTGGTCTGTGTACCAGATGTTGGAGAGAAGAAGGATGTTTTCTTTCACTTGCATATTTTCAGCTGTATGTAAGAGCTTTGTTACAAACGTGACACGGCAGGTTTGGCAACTCCTCCTTCTAAGAAGGGTGGGTAAGAAAAGGGTCAGTTCCTGAAGCATTTGTTGCAGTTAAATCAGCTCAGTTCCTTTAAGCTGCTCTGTGGTATTTGCTGGCATCCTGTGTTTATCCCAGTGAGAGTTCTGTTTTCTTTCTCTACTTGGAGAGTCAGTAGCCACTTCCCTGTGTCTCTCTCACTTGCACATTATGAAGAAGCTCTCTTCAAGGGCAGAAACTGACAGCTCCCTTCCACCTTCATCTCTGCTAATTGTCTTGTGCTGTACTGCCTAAATCTGAGCTTTTGGGTTAAGTTGGCTTAAAATGAGGATTTTTTTTCTGTGTAGGAAGTAGGACTTGCATGACAACAGCAGCAGGAGTGGAATTGCTTCTCTGAGGCAATCTTATTGCTCCACTGATCCTCCTGGCCCCATGTCCCAGTAGACTTAATTGTTTCTGTTGCTTGTGTTGTTCTGTTTTAATGGGACTCTCCTCCCCCTCTTCAAATACCTTCTGCAGGATGAAAATGGACAGCAGTGAACCAGAGCATTCCCCCCACCCAGCCCTACTACTACCTGTCTTTCCCATGGTTTCTCTCCTTCCAGATCAGCTCTTTTGATGCTCATTTGGATGAGCACAGCTCTTCCGCATCCAAGCTACTGGACTCTCCCAAGCTGTCTCCCTTGGGAGAAGCCAGTACTGGAGATAATAGTTGCAATCCTGTCACTGATTGCAGTAGAAGCAAAGGTCACTGTGTCTTAAAAAAAAATGAATTGTTTCTCATCCCAGGAGACTGTGGGTGGCTGTGTGAGTGTGAGCTCCTCGAGCTTCTGGCTGAGGGCAGGTTAACCCTGAGCTCCTCTGCTACACTGTACCCTGATCCTTCTCCACAGCTTTTTATTACCTGGATCTAGGTAGGGAGCTGGTCCTGCAGGCTCCTCTTTGCAGCATCCATAGATGGGATCCATGTGCTCTCATTATTGGAGCAGAGCATTTCGTTTGACATCGTTGGGTGTTAAATCTGGATTCAGCTCCTCTTGTGAGGGTGGGGCAAGTGTCTTAAAGGCTTCTAGACCTTGTGGTGTCTGACAAAAGTAGGCAGGAGTCTTGCTTGCCAGAATATAGAGTATCATGAAGTGACTCTGGATCATCACTTGATCCCTGGCTGAGTCTTGCCTTGCTTGGAGCCCAGCAGTGACTGGCTTGGGGACAGTGTCCTAGAATGAACTTGCACAATACTGCCCACAGATGGAATTATTACAGGAATTCTGCTGAAGAGTAACTGCTAGACATCCATTGGGTTGCTGATTTTGTTGGGAAGCCTTGCATGTGTTTCATCAGCACCCTTTTTTATTCCCTCTCTCCCTTGACCAGATGAATTTGATGCCTATATCATTGTGTCCTTCGTGAACGCCACACTGGTGCTGTCTATCGGAGAGACTGTAGAAGAAGTGACTGACTCTGGATTCCTGGGTACTACACCCACCTTGTCCTGCTCTCTCCTTGGTGATGATGCTTTGGTACAGGTAATGGAAAGCTGCTTCTGACCTGGCTGCTTTTGTCTGTTGCTCTCTGCTTGCTGCACACCCCAGTTTCTACAGTAGAAATGAGACAGCATCATGTCTAAGGACACGGATTTACCTTAAGAATGAGGTGTTCAGCCTTGTGTAGTGTGTACAGCTCTGGAGTCCCCAACACAAAAAGGACATGGAGCTCTTGAGGGAGTCCAGAGGAGGCCACAGAGATGATCCCAGTGCTGGAGCAGCTCTGCTCTGGAGCTAGGCTGGGAGAGTTGGGGTGTTCAGCCTGGAGAAGAGAAGGCTCCAGGGAGACCTTAGAGCACCTTCCAGTGCCTGAAGGGGCTCCAGGAAAGCTGGGGAGGGGCTTGGGACAAGGGCAGGGAGGGAGAGGACAAGGGGGAAGGGATTAAAACTGGAAGAGGGAGATTGAGGTGAGACATGGGGAGGAAATTGTTTGGTGTGAGGGTGGTGAGAGCCTGGCCCAGGTTGCCCAGGGAAGCTGTGGCTGCCCCATCCGTGGCAGTGTTGAGGGGCAGGTTGGATGGGGCTTGGAGCAACCTGGGCTGGTGGGAGGTGTCCCTGCCCATGCACGGGGGATGGGAACTAGATGATCTTTTGAGTGTTACCCTCTGGCTTTTCCTGTGTGGGGATCACTAGTGAGGTGGGAGCTGTGCAGAGATGCCAAATACAGAATTCATGTGACCTCTTCTTTTTTTCCTTCAGGTTTACCCAGATGGGATCAGGCACATCCGAGCAGATAAGAGAGTTAATGAATGGAAGACACCAGGGAAGAAAACCATTGTAAAATGTGCTGTGAACCAGAGACAAGTAGTGATAGCACTGACTGGAGGAGAGCTGGTGTACTTTGAGATGGACCCGGTACGTCTGTGCTGGGTGTTTGTATGTTCATCCCTGGCAGTGTTGAAGGGCAGGTTGGATGGGGCTTGGAGCAACCTGGGCTGGTGGGAGGTGTCCCTGCCCATGCAGGGGGGTTGGAACTAGGTGATCTTGAAGGTCCCTTCCAACCCAAACCAGTCTGGGATTCTGTTCAGGCTGTGAATGGGTTTGGAAGAGTGATGGGGAGAGTATGGGGGGTGCTGGGGGTTGATCCTTGATCAGTCCTGCAGTTTTGGGCACCTCAATTCAAGAGACATCTCGAGGTGCTGGAGCGAGGACAGAGGGGGGCAACAAAGAGCCTAGAGAATAAATCTTGTGAAGAATCCTTGAAAGAGCTGGGAATGTTTAGTCTGAGGAAGAGGAGGCTGAGGGGAGACCTCGTCAATCTCTACAACTACCTGAAAGGTCATTGTAGAGAGGTTGGTGCTGGTCTCTTCTCACAAGTAATTAGTGACAGAACAAGAGGGAAAGGCTTGAAGCTGCACCAGGGCAGGTTTAGACTGGACATTAGGAACAATTTTTACACAGCAAGAGTGGTTAAACACTGGAACAGGCTGCTCAGGGACCTGGTGGAGTCACCAGCCCTGGATGTGTTTACGGGTTGGTTGGATGTGGTGTTGGTGGATGTGGTTTAGGGGAGAACTTTGCAGAGCAGGGACGATGTTTGGACTCGGTGATTCCAAGGGCTCTGTGATTCTAAGAGGGTTCTGCACTGAAGTGTCTTTCTGGAACGGATAGATCAAAGCCCTGCATGTCCTGACAATGTCTGTCTGAGGTGACTTGATGGCTAATTCAAGTCTGAAGTTCACTGATAACAGGCTGGGAATTATGTGCTTATCCTATTGCCATTCCTCTGCCAAAGGCACCACAAAATCAGGCTGTAAAGAAATAATTAAAAAAGAAACCCCAGAGCACCTTTTAAAAAAAAAAAAAGAGGTGGGAGGAAAGTGTGGAAAGATGTGGTTGATGTGTCTCTCCCTTTCCAGTCAGGGCAGCTGAATGAGTACACGGAGAGGAAGGAGATGTCGGCCGACGTGGTGTGTATGAGCTTGGCCAACGTGCCGCCCGGCGAGCAGCGCTCCCGCTTCCTGGCCGTGGGGCTGGTGGACAACACTGTCAGGATCATCTCCCTTGACCCCTCGGTGAGTGGCTCCTGAAATGTTCAGGAGGATGTGCTCCAGAGGTGGGCTGGAGCCATCCAAGCTGTCTTTCCATCTTGAAGTGGTAGGACCGTGAGTCAGCGATGTGTGCCCTTGTAGCCGAGAAGGCCGATGGCATCCTGGGGTGGATTAGAAAGGGGGTGGTTAGTAGGTGGTTAGTAGAACCTCCTCCCCCTCTGTTCTGCCTTGGTGAAGCCACAGCTGGAATGTTGTGTCCAGTTCTGGGCCCTCAGTTCAACAGGACAGGGAACTGCTTGAAAGAGTCCAGCACAGAGCCACAGAGATGATGAAGGGAGTGGAATGTCTCCCTGATGAGGAGCTGGGTCTCTTGAGCTCGGAGAAGAGGAGACTGAGGGGCGACCTCATGTGTTTACATATATGTTAAGGGTGAGTGTCAGGAGGATGGAGCCAGGCTTTGTTCAGTGATGTCCAGTGACAGGACAAGGGGCAGGGGGTGCAAACTGGAGCACAGGAGGTTCCATGTGAATCTCAGGAAGAACTTCTTTCCTGTGAGAGTGACAGAGCCCTGGGACAGGCTGTGGAGTCTCCTCTGGAGACATTCCAGACCCACCTGGACAAGTTCCTGTGTCATGTGCTCTGGGTCATCCTGCTCTGGCAGGGAGGTTGGAGTGGATGGTCTTTTGAGGTCCCTCCCAACCCCTAAGATTCTGTGATTCTGTGACCAGAAGGAATACCTTGTGTGGCTTTTCTCTGCAGGAGTGTGGCCCTAGATCTGACCTGCAACCGGTTCCCTTGCTAAATCTAACGTGCCCGGAGGGTCAGCTGATAAGATACTAAAACCTTTTATTCTTTGTTTTGGGGTTTGGTGGGTTTATACCTGTAGTAAAAGCAGACTCATTTTACAGACAGGTCAGCAGCAAAGCAGCATTCTCATTCCTCTCCCTGCAACAGATGAGTGTCCAGAGGATGACTGAAGTAACATAACTTCCACTCAGATTTCTCCATGCTAAATAGCTGCAAACTGTGCTAGAAGAATTTGGAAGGATCTAGTTTATCTTCTCCAAACCCCAGGGCTGCAGCCACTCCTCCTTGCCAAAATCCACAGAGCCAGCATCCATTGTGACTTTTTCCTTTCTTCTTGTGCTGAATACTTCTTTATGGAGATTTCAAAGGGCATCTTTACACTCCTCAGATGGGACTTGAATCCCCTCTTGCCATGCCAAGCCTTGCTGACTGGTGTGTTACCACTTTTCTGTCTCCCACAGGATTGCCTGCAGCCCCTGAGCATGCAGGCCCTTCCTGCCCAGCCAGAGTCTCTCTGTATTGTGGAGATGGGTGGAACAGAGAAGCAGGATGAACTGGGAGAGAGGGGCTCCATTGGCTTTCTGTACCTGAACATTGGGCTGCAGGTGAGAACTGCCTGCCTGCTTCTGCCAGGCTTTTCTGGGTGAGCCTTGGACTTGCAAGCTGGATTGTTGGAACAGCCTTGTCACAGCATGACACAGAGCCTGGTTGTTCCCTCTCTGTTACAACACTTATCAGCTGTGACTGGGGAATTCACTGTGTGATTTAGGAGAGGTGCAAATTTCCCCAGAAGTTCTTAGACTTGGAGTCAGAAGACAGCATATTAATCCCAGGCTTCATATAGGACAAATTCTGCTTTTCCCCTTCCAGAAAGAGGGCACGTTCTGATAAAAAAACAAAACAAACACAACAAAACCAAATTCCTCTCTGGGTAAAATGTTGTTGAGCAGTTCTTTGATACTCTGCCCTACAGGCAGTTTTTGAAGGAGCAACCAACCACAGGCTCTGCTCTAAAATCTCTGCTGCTTTTTTGTTGCATCCAGGACTGACTGATCTTTGACCAAAAAAATAATCAGAGCAGTCATGAATTTTTTGGGTACATACTTTGTACCAAAAGGGATTAGCATCTGGAATAGGCCCTCAGGTGTTTCCTGCCTTATGGGATGTACCAAACTTCTTGGTCTTTTGGGGTTTTTTTGGCTTTGTTGTTGGTTTTGGGGGAGGGTTGTTGGTTGGTTGGTTGGTTTGCTTTCCAGTAATTCTGCCCTGCAGGAGTTGAATGCTCAGAGCCAACGTGGCTGGAAAAGGGAGTTGTCCAGGAAGCTGGGAAAACAAACACCTAATTCCTCAGAAATTACCTCTTCTGTTTGGAGTACTGGTTGTAGCTAGTTATTTCTTACCTGTAGTGTTGATCTAACTCTTGGGTTTGTTGCTCTCCAGAACGGTGTGCTGCTCAGAACTGTCCTGGATCCTGTTACTGGAGATCTTT